ATATGCTGTGCGAATTTTTCGCACGGGCCTACTAGTTATAATGAAACATTAAAAAAATTAATAATTATAAAACATCCTACTGTTCTGGATAAGCTTAAGGTTTTATACTTTTAAATATTATATTATAATCTATCTATTTACCATTGTGTCTCTAATGATTAAAAAAAAGAAAAAAACTTTGGATTTCTTTGTGAATAATATGTATAGAATACATTTATTTATTCTGTTACATAGCTGCTTCATCCATACTTGGTTCGCAGCCAGCGAGAATGTTATCTACTGGGTATGCCCAAAGGACCTTGGAGGTTGCTGCCTCAATAGTCTTTCTTCCAGTTTTATCTCAACCTCCATCCCTGCCTTCCATGCACCAATTTCTATTTCATCCTCAATAAATGTTTTTACTAAACTATCTACAGAATAACTATTAATATTATGTTGCTATGAATATTTGATATGTAAGTTTAAACTACAGTTGACCATTTTGATGTCGAAAAAAACAATTTTATAAAGCAGTTTTTGAGTAAGTCGAACTACTATTTTTATAAAATAGTAGTAATAGTTATAAAATATGCAATGTCTGCATTGTAAGCCTTGAATTTTAAGGAGAGCATAATTGTGAAGTGAGGAGATGCAAATGTTTATAGGTTGCTTTTTACTTATAATTTAATCTTAAAATTTACTTTCACTTCTAGTTCCTATTTGCATTAAAATCACAGATCTAGGCCACAAAATCTATGTACACCCTCCCATGGAACAGCTTTCTTTGAAAACTCTTTTATGGTCCATAACCAGGATCATTTTCAGTTTGCATATTAATGATTGGCTTATCCATCATGCATATTTAAAATACAAATTTATGTGCTACAGAGCTCCTCCAAGGTCGCGTTTTCGTATTAATTTTGTTTATAAAACATTTAAAGTGATTTGATTGTTTCATTAAGTTAAGTACCCCAAAAGCATTTAATAGAATATCAAGAACAATTAAAGTAATGAATTTCTTTCTTCTGTTTTGTTTTTAAAAATTTAATATCTGTTCTCTAACCTTACTTATTGAAATGCCGGCCATCTCTAAAAGGTGATCTTCACCAACAACTCAATTTTCCAATACCAACTCAATTCAAATACAAATTTTCAACCTTCTAAGTCTACTTGGAGGAGTTGTGCCAAACTTTAAAAACCGGAAAACACGGAGGAAAAAATGGAGTGGATGGAAGAAAAAAGTTTAGAGCCCTTCAAGGAAATTATCCAACACCAACTCAAATTGCATACTGGTTTTCAAACCTCTAATTCAATTTGGAGGGGTAATAGACCAGTAACCTTGTCATGAAAGGGGGGCCTAAGTTGCAACAAATGGGGATAAAAGGTATCTTTTTTTTCTTGTATAGGATATAACTTAGATGTAAAATCTAAAGTTTTCGAAATCGGCACCCCCTCCTCTCTCCCCGGATCACTTTTCAATATCCCCAAAACTGCTACATTCTCACATTTTTTTCGGTTTTTCCAAATTTTGATTTGTCTTATATGATTCAATGAAGTAAATATTTATTCATTTTAACATTTTGAAGGAGAGGCGAGAGAGGAGAGGAGGTTTAGTGGGAGAAGGAAGGTCACTGTTCACAACCAGGCGACTGATATTGAAATATATAATTCATTTAACATTTACATCAAGTGTATACTGTTATGTTAAGCTAATAATCTGCTTTATATTGAATACAATTTTCGGATCATTTTTGCGGTTTTTGCTATTTTCAACATTTTCTCCATTATAAAAAATAGGAATAAGTTTAGTAGTTTAAAAGATTTTAAATTTTTCGTAATTTTCTTCTTTTTATCAGTTTCGGTATTTCTTCGTTTTTAAAGTTAAAGTTTACCTTTTGACGATTTTCGCGGTTTTAGACATTATGAAAAAAAAAGGAATAAATTCAGTAATTTAAAAGATTTTTCATAATTTTCGCCTTTTCCTGGATTTTTTTCCATTATAGCATTTTCTAGGTTTTGGCTATTCCCGCCATTTTGTTATGTTCACAATTTTTGTAGTTTTCTCCTTTTTTGCGGCTTTCGAGATTTTCGTAATTTTCATTATTTGCCCAGTTTTCGCCATTATAAAAAAATAGAAAGTTCAGCAGTTTAAAAAATTAAACTTTTAATAATTTTTGCAGTAAAGTAGAAATAAATTCAGTAGGTTTAAATTTAAAAGATTTAAATTTTTTTCATATTTTTCATATTGCGGTTTCGTAATTCTCTCAGTTTTCGCCATTTTTGCGGTTTTGATATTTTCCCCGTTATAAAAAAATGGGAATGAATTCAGTAGTTTAAAAGATTTTTAAATTTTACATAATTTTCGCCATTTATTCTCGGTTTTGGCATGTGCTCGGTTGTCGCAGTTTAGCCGTTTTCACCAATTTCGCCGTTATAATAATAGAAATAAATTGTGTAGTTTAAAATTCTTTACATTTTTCGTCATTATCGCCGTTTCGACATTTTCGCCATTTACGAAATTTTGGCTGTTTTCTCAATTTTAGCGGTTTCCACTATTTTCTTCATCATAAAAATAGGTTTTTTTGCGCCCTAAGCAGAAAGTACTTTTAAATAAATTAGTAAACGTGAAGTATATCAGTGTCGCTGTTTATATAATCATAAGGCTAGTAATATAAAGTTTGACGGTACTGTGCTCTACATATCGAGAGCCACGCAGCAAAATCATATTCTGGAAAATATAGGACCATAGCACAGCCTTATTTAGGCAGGTTATACAGAATTTATAATTTATGTTAGAAACATTACAAACTTCACTAATAGGTGCATCACGTTTCGGAATTTACTATCTCCAGGTCTCGAGGGTTGAGGGAACTATGATACTTTAGTTCGTGGGTACTGAATGAGACTGAGCGAGCCGTCACGTTCTACTATGTGATGTGCAAAAAAAAAAAAAAAAAAAAAAAACCTGTACCATTACAACCCATGATAGATCTTGGGTTCAAGTACTATGTTGGAAAGTTCTCTTTCTTGGTCAATCACGCTTAACCACCAGATTTTGTACATTAATTAATTAAGAGTAACTACTTTATTGAGACTGGGTATGCTCCAGTAGGGTCTCCCGACTCCAGGATCGATCCACAGTCGACGAAACAAAATAAATAATTTATCCGCCATCTGCCAGGTTCGAACCCGCGACCTTAATCCTTGTATGTCAGTGTCCAACCCACTGAACTACCCCGCTTCCCATAGCTTTGGCTACATAGTATAATTCTTATTTATAGATGAAAGATATTTATGTACTTTGAAATCTCTATTTGTATATAAAGCTCCGATGCAACATTACGTGATTGAAATAGGCTGATGGAGTTACGCGGGTTTTATTGCCTACCGTTGATATGTTTATTGTTACCGCATTTGAGAGCGATTATGTTCTTAATAATTATATTTATTTATAAAATTAACTACAATTATTTGTAAAATTATATTAATTCTTAACTAGATTTATTTATTGTGATGGATAGATTTTGGTAAAAATTATACCTACTTCATTATTTTATTCCAAATCCTTGACATCTTTCCAATCTCGGTCCAAATCGAACGAACCATTTTTTGAAATATAGGCGTGTCAAAGAAAATATGTTTATATATTGTATGAGAAAGTTGTGGATGGGATTCGATAAAATTGATATACCACACTTTAAAATTTATTTAATTTAAATCGGTATTGAACAGATTTCGACAAAAGGCCCTTTTCCAACAGAACTCATTTTAACAATATCAAGTGTTAATAACTTCCGTTTTAGAAAAGTCAAATTAAATATGAAATTATGTTATATTGGACTTGAGGCAGGATACTTGAGGAATACTGGCAATATTGTAAATGGGGTAAGAAATAATAGGAAGTAAAAATTAATTTTGAATTAAGTTGCATAGACATTTAATTGATTTTTTTCTGCTCACCGAAACTGTTGTGTCAAATTCGGTCAATTGATAATAGTCCATGGTACAGACTTCGTTTTATCAAATTATTAACATCCAACAAAAACTATTGTAACAGCTTCACCTCATTGTAACCTACTTCTTTTTTATTTAGCAAAAATCTCGGAATTGGGGCGTTTTCAATTTAGAGATCTGCAAACTTTGCCTATTTAATTAGGTTCTAAAAGCTCATGAATACGTATTAGCTTTCCGCTTGAGCATAAGAGAATTTGATCAAAAATCGAAAAAAGTGGTATGTAATAATATTGAGTCGTTTTGCGTGTCCCTCACCGCCACTATATCAAAGTAACGAGGTTATATATAGGTAAACAGCCTAATATAAATGAGTATTGATGACTTTTTAGCACCTCATTAATTTGATTAGTAAATGACCTATTTATCAGAATTTTCGTAGATAAAATAATTGTACGTTACGTGAAGATTATTCACGAAGTTTTGGACGGATATTAATAAATTGATAAAAAGGGGTCTGTACCACGGATTATGAATATGAAATATAAAATTTATTTGGTATATTAACAACCCCCTCCATCGGTTTATCCCCTCTCCACCACCCACTCTCCTTCCGCCCATCTTTACCCTCCTCCCTCCTCCATCCTCTTTTCACTCCCCCATTCCGCTCCCCACTCCGATCTAAATAACCATAACGTTCCGCATTAGGACAAATATATCTGGCAACTTTAACTATGTTGCAATTGGTAATTATTTATATTTAATAGTTTTTTAAGGAAAATATAAAACAGAATAAAAAACACAATGATAAAATTTGCGATCTAAATTCCATAGATTGATAAGTTTAATTAATGTCTTCATATCTCAAATTCGTTGTTCTGTTTCTTATGAATACATCCCAGTTACAAAACTTTTAATTAAAATAATCGATACTGTCTTCGTATCGAGAAATAGTTCTCGATTCTAATAGCGTTCCGACCGTAGGAGAGAACCCGCCCGTTTTGACAAGGATGGGGTAGAAGGAAGGCAGGTTATGTAGTCTATTCTGGCAGCGGAGCCAGTCCACCGCTGGCAGGTTTGTCGAGTATAGCCAGGAATAGTTGTGTGTGTGCTGGCTCATCTCTTCTGATGATGGATTGATTTCTTTGCAGGGGAAATGTCTTACGATCGCAAGAGGATCAACCCCAACATCCACAAGATCAGGGAATTCGAACTGGAAAAGGTAAGTCTATTTATATACAACCCCTTCCTGGCGAGCTCGAACAATGGGATTCCATCTCGCTGCTCTCAAAATGTCTATGTTACACCTCAAGGTTGTGTGTCTGCATTTCAGGTGTCTATCCCTTCTTTTGTCGAGCCCTATTTGATCTATTATAAACCTTTCGTTATATTCTGTCTTGTTTCGATGATCTGCTATTCTTAATACAGAGCTCAACACGTTTTAAAGAATTATTATAATAAGCCAATATATAAAAACTAGCACTAATTAACGAAAGGGCCATTATTTAATTTAATTATGACAATGAATTATATAAATTAATTTTGTAGATCAATATCTGATTCATTATTATTTTTTATTATTCACAAACTATTGGGGAGATATTTCCGAATGATGAGATCAGTATTTTGTAAAGTTGTTTACTCGGAAGATTTATAAATATAACTGAAAATGTTTTTCTTTCATATTATTTTAATGGGCTCGTTCACTTATTAAGGGTCTTGATACAAGAATCAGGCGATTCCAAATTTTACCAAAAATGTTTTGATGCATTTTTGACTTTGGACAATACAGCTAAATAATTTGAGAATGACTAACTCGTCGGCCAATAAAAAATCTGTTATCCGTTAGTGAAAAAACCTCGTGTCTTCTCTTCTGGCATCACGTATCTTGCATTTCATACCGATTTTAATGAGTGCGTACCTACTACCTTTGAAGCAAACATGAGATTAGTCTTGCATTTTCTGACTCGAAGTCCTTGAAGCTGATGTATTATCAAAAATTAGCTGTTGTCTTTTTTAATTTCGTTTGGCTCTAACCTAACTCTAATGTTGTGGTGCTTTTATAATAGGTGGTTACTAAAATTTCGACATGCGTTTCAACAGAACTGAGCTTCGGAGTTTACGTTATTTTGTTGTGTTTTATACCACGCATATTTATGTATAAGATCTTCATGACTGTTTCTGACATTTAATAAACCTATTTCCCTTTTTCCGACAGTTTTTATCGACGATCATTTAAAAATTAATTAATTAATGAATTAATCTCGTACTAAGAATTGGAATTCGGATTTCATTGTTATTATATTAAATATAACCGAATAGCGCTTGTAAACGACTGTACTAGTATATTCTCTGTGGTAGGACAAGAGCGTTAGCTATATAACACCACGTGTAGTTTAGATACGGGACAATATTGCCTTAAGTAATCTTTCTTTCTATGTTTGTACTTTTACGATATGTAAAATAGCATTAAATAAACGATTAAAAGGCTACAGAGAGTAAATGTGCGAAGTAATTGGTACAATATTATCTACTTAATTTGATTACTTAGCACATATCTGTTTTGTACTTGTGTATACAGAAATCGTGATTTCGTTATTTATTTTATTTTATTTTTTTATCATTCTTTACTAAGTTTTTGAATATTCAATCGATGTAGTTGATTCATTTATAAAAGTATTAGTTTATTTGCAGCATTTAGAACAACAGAAACGGGCATATTTTAATATATATTTCTAGTTAATAAAGTGGATTCTAATTTTCACTTTTCCATTAAAAAAAAATAAAACAAAAGACATATTTTTATATTATTTATTATACGTTTCAAAAAATGTCTAAATCAGATTTATAATATAGTGTGTGTCGTAGCAAAATAATAAATTTTGGTAGCATCTCTTAGAAAAGAAAGTGGTCTACTTCTAACTAATTTTCAATAAACTTCTTTAAAATAAATTGTATAATATGTTAAAATAAATAAGTGTAATACCAAAGGAAAATGTTTTTATAGCCTACTGTCACTCTAAACAACATTTATTAATATTTAGTGAGCTTTATATTTTACATTAAGCAGCGTTTCCTTCAAATTATTTTTAATGTAATTTAAAGCTATAATTTAAATTACAGATAGTTTTAATTTTTAAAGACAGTGCGGTTTAACATCCACTGGAGCCCTGAAGATATGAACTTGATGTGGTTGAACTTCTTTATGAGAAAAAAAAAATGTATATTTATATTTTTAAAACATACAAAATAAAAACGCATATTCTAAATGTGTATAGAGGTGGCTTATCCTCTCAAGTTCAAGTGGACTTCTAGGACTATCCTAACAGAATCTCTATAGCTGCTGAGATATTCTTGTTAAATGGAAAAAGCATTTAAACAAGCAAATTATATGAATGAAGGATGGCTTGTTATGATTGAAGAAACTGGACTTACAAGGAATGAATTTTTATGAGATCGTCCGGAATTCGCGGGAATTCGTAGGGATTGGGAATTCCTTTAAACTGTCAGTAATGGTACAGAAAGATATCACATATTTATTGTCCATAATCGAAATTCACCAAAATAACTAAATTTTAATTTTGTTTTTTGTCTCAATTACTTATTATAAATGACACAGACACAGTGTCTCTAAATCTTACCCCAGATTAATGTGACGAAAATAAATGTCTTCTTGATTGACTTCTAGTTTTCTAATGTGGATAAGAATTTTATTCCTAATCATCAATAGTGAATTTTTCATTCACTTTTGACAAAATCTACTCTGTTAATGAAGAGTAATCTATGAAAAAGTCAATCAATTCCAAAGTTGAGAGAGACATACCAGAAGATTTGGATATTTCTTAAAATCTATTTCGCGAAAATTCCAAAGGTCAGATATTATTTATAGAAAACAGAGTTTATTTAAACTGAAATTAAATGTTTTCACAATATCTCTAAAGAAGCATAGGAGCTTCGTTTCAGATCAAAACCCACTTAGTTTCTATTTTTATAAACCTGTCAAGAGTTATAAGCGATTTAACGAAAATCTTGTCCGTTTTATCAAACTCCTGGTCTGATTACAAATTATTAATATGCTATAAAGTATATAGATAGAAACATGATTATTTTTTATTTTCTTTATAATAGCAAAATAAGATTATGTATAAACCTTAAACAAATTTTTTGCCTAATCCTTCGAGTAAATTATATTATTAAAATATTAATTTTTTGGGTTTTATCGTTAATTAGAAAAAACAAATACAACAGAAATGTGTATAAATACAATGTACAGCACCTAGGTAAATCTTGGGCAAAAGACTTCAGAAACTCATACACAAATTGAATGAAAAACATGAACTAACAATATTTTACGAACAAAGTTATTATGATCAAATCATAAATATATTAATAAATGCGTTTTAGTCTTATTCTGTAGGGCTTTCTGAACATTTATGTTAAAAAAATTATTGTGATGTAATAAAAATTGTTGAAGTAATGAATTATTTACTTAACCTATTTCACTGTTTTAACTTTAACTAATAAGGGTATTCTACAGTCAGAAGGTCACCGATTCTAACCATTTATTTTTCTGTGATACTACATTGAATAATATTGGACATATGTCACGGTGTTCATTCCAATGGTCTCTAGGAGCCGAGAAACAAATATTTTAAATAATTTCAGACATATCTCATGCTATTTACTTCTCTCTATAAGCACAAGGCAAACATCTATCTTGAGATTTGAGTTGCACTCACCTGTTTCGGTACTACTAAATTTTATATATAAACGGACTTGATTTAAAATTTCTTATTATACGGACTGTTGACTCTACTTGAACCTGAATCCACAACGTTCTTTAACTTTTCTTGGCAGTGTTATGTAAATATTTGGCTTGTTTTAAAATTAGCCCCGTCTCATGTAAGGAAATGGACATGCATATTTATAACTAGATCCTTGCAAATAGGTTTTTGTTTTTTATAAACTCTTGTTCTTCCAGTTTGCAACTCGTCAAAAGCTTAATTTAACTATCATCTTTGGTCAAGTAGGTAACATATTTTCTATTATCTGACCGTTTAATTTTTAGTCCTGACGAAATGTTTTAGAGTAGTGTGTTTATATTTGCCAGTTGCACTTAAAATTTGTTATGGTAAGCAATTTAAGGTAACAACGTTATTTGCTATGTATGAGAAAGAAATAAGTTAATAGGAATATTAAAATAACATAATACCTGAGCTGAGTCCATGGAGTGGAACTTAAGTTAACTTATGAGACTGTTGATGAGGAATGAACTTGTGAAAACCGTCGCACTGCTGGACCCCAGCTGTCCCATCTCTAACTCCATCACTCTGACAGGTAATGAAAAAGTGAAAAATTGACGTGATAGAACTTAGGAAATGTGCCATATATTCTCGCAAAGATGTACTGCCATGCTGTCATGAGTTCTAAATCCTTATCAACTTTGGATTTATAAAGAGCTTATTGGACTAAAATGTGACCGTCATATACAGAATATTTCGTATATGAAATATATTAAAACATTATGCATCTCGATATCTTTTTCGATTATAATGAATTTTCGATTATACGGTCTTAATAAATCAAGGAAAACAATATCTATCTCTTATGTCACACTACATTAGTAACATGAAAAAAGTAATATGAAACCTATCAGAAAGAAGTATATAATCGAACGATTTAAATCAAAATTATGTTTTCATATTAAGAAACTTAGATTTTATTATTATTATTTTATTTCTAATGATATTTACAACTGTATGGATATAATGACGTGAAAACACTTGTTGAGTAACTACCCAAGGTACCCCTGTAAAGATATGTCTACATTAGGAGATCACGGGGCCATCTTCTTTTCAGACGCCTCGGAGGGTTATCAGGAATTGAAGAGGAAGCAAGATTAGAAACGAGAGGGTTGGAATGATTCTGAAGTTTATTACGGAAGGATAGGTATCTGGATTGGGCCAGATCTGAAACATAAGGAACATTAAGATCTTTATGGATAATTTTATTAGTGACAAAGTAAGAAGCATTGAGGATTTTACGAAGGATTTTGGATTGTAAGGATTGGATGCGAGAGGAATTCGATGGTTTAGTGGATCCCCATAGCTCAACTCCGTAAGTCCAAATAGGTCTTATTATAGTCAAGTATATGAGTCTTTTGTAATTAATGGGAAGTTTAGAGCGTTTGTCTAGTAAGTGCTGAAGTAATCGGAAACGTCG